TAGAAACTACGCACGCACGATACATATATGCAACATAGCTGGGCTTTTTTTTTTTTTTCAAATGGAGGTTGTCATCCATGGAAAATTTATGTACATGAGCAAGCCACTACCGTATATGTAAAGTTAGAGATGACAGTATCCGAAAAAATTGCCATCATGATAAAATGAGCATGAAGGGTGACATCGATTTAATGCAAGGGGCTGAAATGTGATGCACTACCATTCATTCTAAGGAGCTCAAACACCGAATGAGTGACAATTCATGCGATACACGCCAAGTTCAAAACTAAGGAAAACAACTTCCTAATTTAAAAAGTGGAAGTCATATTCCAAAAAAGTAAGGAGGACTATTCTTACCCAAGTGTTTTGATGGATAACCAAGTAAAACAAGGAATTTTTCAAGCATACGCACTCAAGTGAGGGCGCATTTTCATTAGGAGACCAGCTGCAATTCTCCGGACAAAACTACCATGAACTGCTCAAATGGAAAAAAATTTGTTTCAATGCGATTCACAATTAGATATAGAGTCTAGTTGATGCACCAAACTAGCAGTACGTCATCACACACCATTATAAAGCAGGAAAAGCACTCTCACAAATTATGTTCAACCATGAATGAAGCAGGACCTATGCAACACCAAGGCAGGTGTACGAATTAGTCCACTGCTCAAGGTCCTCTCCACATCATCTCTAATATACTGTCGTCATCTCTAGTACACATTCACAAACGATGATTATCCGGTGAGACATTCAACTCAATTTTCTCTGGGGAATTTTAATGAACATCTGGCCACCCCCCCCCCCACAACAACAAATTCTAGCCGCAGCACACCATTCATTCGGAAGCCACCAGATAAAGTACAGCACGTCATTCATTGTGATGTATCGAGTTACGCTAGCACTACCCTATTCATTCGGTCCATTCGATCTAGCAACGTCAAAACCTCAAACACTCAACAGATTTGGCTTAGGCATTTTTTCAAACACAAGGCGAGCAGCAAGCTAAGGGGCAAATATTGATCCATTCGGCACCAAGAAAGTATAAATAAGTACTAGTTATCGGCGGCTCAGTCCATGCCGACTTATTGACAGGAATGTCGAGACATCTACTCTATACTAACTCACGATCTTTCACACACTAACAAAAATACTTCTTTTATTTGATGGGATAATATGCACCTCGGAGAGAGGCATTAAAATGACACTTTCAAATCATTTCAAATGCTCAGAAAACACAATTAACAAAGAAACAATGTTTTGAGACAAGCACCAGAACTATTTTGTCAAAGAAGTTGGAACTCCCACGCCGGAACAGGTGATTTACAGGTTGGAAAGAGTGACCATAAAGTGAGAAGTTTCAAAGAATGCTGCACTAACCAAACAAAGGAACTATAATATTGAAAGTCAACCTCATCCTTGCATGACAAAGAAGAGGCAACTACATGGTCTTTCCCTGATCAAACCGAGCAACACGGAAAATTCATAATCGAGACACAAATTTCACTACAGCAACAGAAACAGCAACTAGATCCTTATAATAAGACTAGAAAGCTCAGTTCTAAACAATCACAGCAATAAACAAACATAGGAGAACCATCACTAATGCTATACCATACAAGGTGAACATAACAAGTGCAAACTCACCATTCTGATAATGCAAATAGAAATTTTCCCTGCTTTATTGAATCTAACTTACAGTCTAATTATTTGCGAGTCATTTACCAAGATAAACCGCAGAACGACAATTACACTTTCAAATTTGGCCATTCAGAATCCTGATCCCAAGTTGACACAGCTCAATGAGGGGACCCCAAAAATGAAATTTTTATACTAATTGAAGGAGCCTCTAGGATCAGTCCCATGTTGCCAAACATAAACAAGCTCATCCCAACCTGTACTACTGAGAAGCCCTTTGACAAGCACACTCATGTCAACTAAATGTCGTGAATGAAAATATACATGAGGAAAAAAAGACATCACGATCTAAAATATACCTCGCTCGTGGGAGGTGACGGACGTTGCTCGTGGGCAGCGGAGGACCTTGCTCGTCGGAGGCGGCGTTAGTGTCGGCTAAGTGGGAGTCAACGCCTAGGCAAATCGGAGCTCAACCTCAAATCCACCTATTTTGTAATTTGTAAATCCAAGCTCAACCTCAAATCGCGGGTAAACAAACACCCACCAAGCAATACACTTCAACTCTACGTCAGGCAAAGGAACCCAACAAGAGCAGAACCCGGAAAAACCATTCTTCTTCAGAGTCCTGAGGCAAACACAGAATAGAACAACCTCAACACACTCACACCACTAAACATAATGTAGCTCATCTTCTGTACTAGACCCCGAAAAAAGAAAACTTCCTTCCTTATTTTACTTTTAACAAAGACCCAGATAGTAACAAAAGCAAGCTCACTCTCAGAACACGATGTGAATTACATCGAGTAATACCTCCTTGGTGAGCTATTGTTTACACGCATAACCTTCGATGATTTATGGTCAGTGGAAGAAACCAACTCTTTCCAAATAGTCGATGCAGTACTACAAGCACAGTTAACAACCTATACATAAATTCTCTTTACCAGCCGAAAGTAAAATTTCTATTGCTACGTGCCTTGCTAGTATTTGCCAAAACCAATCACGCAAAAACATAATCATGAGTTCGCATTTGATAAAATATCTATGGAGTAAATGACCATGCGTTGTTGCACTATGATAACTTTCCAGTGTGTCTGCAAATTCAAATGTCATCACCTTCTTTGCAGCAAGCAAGGCCGCACGAGATACAAGATTTATAGCAGCCAACTGTCCGCCCTGTATCCCAACAAACATAATTAAATAAGTCAGATTTTCAATCTCCTTGTAATTATTAGTTCAAGCGCCATGCCAAATAAATACAAAATTTTCATTAACTACAGCGCAAAACCTTAATTTGCTAGGTCATTTATAAAGTGAGTATAGAGACTTCAAGAGAATCATTCAATTATGAAGGAGACCCCCTGCATACTCACTGCGTGCTCTGTCTTCTAATTTACTCTTTTTGATCCACAATTGTTTATCCCATTGGAAGAAGGATAAGGCTTCTTACGCACTTTCGCTTCTTACGCATATTTTCGACAAGCATTAGATCATCCAGTAACCAAACGAACAGGATGTGTATTCTATTTCCATGTCGTGAGGACTTGATGAACTTAATGACAATACAAAAATTTGCTAAGCACTTACTTTCTTGACAACTTCCTTTCTTACACAATACCTTAATTATGGAAGCATGTCATTCTTGGAATAATTAAAAATCAAACAATCCTATACATGTGTGGCTCTTTTCCAGTGGTCCTGAAAAATGGATGCGAATTTATTTGGAAATTGTAATACACGAAAGAGCCAAAGCCAGCACAGTCTAACAGCAATACCCTTGAACAAAAGAGTCTAAAATAGCAAAACTTGATTTTCTTTGCAACTCTCTTTGACAACCGAAATTTGGCAGTGTTTGCTTGCATATTTGTATGGCAATTATCTCACATCAGGTGCTATCATTAAAATGTACAATTCCTCAACTATTGAAGAACCAACTCCTCTAAATTCAGCAAAGTTTTGCAGCAGTATTGTCCAACTAAAGCATTGAACATTTTCCTTTACTAGTAGATCTTTTTTATAACATTAAGCAGTATGGTCACATAAATGACAGGTGATTATATCAGACGAGATGCTAACGTGAGAATTTTAAGTTCCTCATACGTCAAACGAGCATACTCCTGATAATAGTAATACAGCATAAGGTAGATTTCACCAGTTTATTTTCTTCTAGACAGAACATATTGTGAAAAGGTCAATCCTAAAATCTTCTCCGTGCAGTGACCGAATTCATCTAGTCTTAGAAAAGACATTAGACTGATAACCCAGCACTGGATAGGATGAAACATAGTATGCAGACAAGAAGATGCACCAAATAAGCATAGCATCTAATCACACATGAAGTCACAGGCAGATGGGTCAATCAATTGAGCTTCCCCCTGAATCTGGCTTAAGTCGCGTAACATGTGTATAGCTCATACCACGTCAACGAAAAAACCCACAAGATGCAGTACTCAAGATGCAGCCATGAACCACCCTCTGTTCTACCACAATCAACCCTCTCAGCTATTTTCAGAAACTATCATAAAACTTATGGTGGCAGGGGGCAACGAGCAGACACAAACACAAAAACCCCCAAGAAAAAATCATGAAAATCCGAACGAATACATTACCTTCGTGAACATGCCTAAACCCTAGCGCTTGAAGTAAGTTCTTCCTCCCCGTGGTGAAGATGAGGATAAGGGGGACGTAAGCTGGGCGTGACGAGCAGCGAGCGCACGAGCGGTGAAGGGCGGCGAGTGGCCGGGCGGCGAGCGACGGGCGGCGAGGCACGGCGAGCGACGGGCGGCGAGGCGCGGCGAGCGGCGGTGAAAGCGCGGCAAGCGGCCAAGGCGGCGAGCAGCGACGAGCGGCGAAGGAAGCGCGGCGAGTGGCCAGCAAGAAGCGTAGGATGGGATGGGAGCGAAGCGTCGCTCGTGGATGGGGTGCCTAAGCGGGTGAGGGAGACGGAGCGCAGAGCGGAGAGCAGATGGGGAGCGGAAAGAGAGAGAGGGAGTGTGGAGAGAGAGGGCTGTTTTTAAAAAAAATTTCTCCCAGCTTCAGCTCAGCTCAGCTCAGCTCAGCGCCGTGGGAGAGCCTTCCTGACATGTGGGTCCTCTCGGACACGTGTCGCCACGCCAGAGTTGTTATTTCTCCACGGTGGAATCCCTAGTGGCACCCAATATTTTCTCGGCCATGAGGGGGTCGTACTAACAGGGTCAGTATGACTCTGTGCATGTAGAAACAATAAAGTGCAATGCTTAGAGGATGGCCCGAGTAAGTAGAAAAATTTGCACCCAAAGCAGCTACAAACTTTTTTCATTATGGATGCACCGCAGCACACCTATATAATGGATGGTTAGCACACTCAGAGTCTGGCAACAGATTTCGCAATGGCTCTTCCTTCTTTGGTCGCAAGCTTCCTTCCCTCCTCAATTCACCATAGCCAACCCTCCTCCTCTTCCTCCTCCGCTGCGTCCTCCGGCCCTCGATTCGCGACATGCGGTTTGAAGATTGAAGATCAAGAGATTGCGAGACGTTCGGCGAATTGGAAACCGAGCGTTTGGGACTATGATTTTGTGCAATCACTCGGTGTTGATTACACGGTAATGTTTTTCTTCTTTTTTTCAGCACAGAAGGATAGAAATTCTCGAAGTTTATTTTTTTTGGTCGAACAGAAATTCTCTAAGTTCAAGAGCTTGATTGTGCAAATTTTAAGTTCAATGACCACGTTGACTACAAAAATAACCTGAGTAAAGCAACCAAATGTACACTTTTTCCCTATTTTTATGTACTTTAATATGATGAGTCCACCAATACAAAAAAGACACAACCAAAAGAAAATTCGTCCTTTGAATTAGATATATGGATGTTTACTTCTTATGTACTTCTGTATATAATTTATATACGACGTTCGAGATATGAAACATCAATTTACACATTCATCCACTGCCACTCTATCAAATACACGACCAACCCCATCAACATTCTATTGGAGACATTAATAAACCTATTAATAAACCTGGTCGAAATAGCATATTCTCAATATATAGACACGAGCTCAACCGTGCCTACTCAAATGTTTTTGCAAATAAAGTGAGAATCGAACTGTTTCCCTACGGGAGGCAATATTGAAGTCTGCTTGTGTATTGACTTTGATTAAGATCTCATTTTGCTGAGCTTTTCATGTGCCTAGGAGGATATATATACGGAGCAAGTCCGAAGGTTGAAGGAAGAAGTCAAGGGTCTATTCGACCGGGAGATGAATCAGGTGGCAAAACTCGAGCTCGTTGACGGGGTTCAAAGACTGGGACTAGGATATCATTTCGAGACAGAGATCAAGAACGCTCTTGGTTCCATCCATAACAACATCGAAGATGCTCAGCTTTCAGATGATCTCTATCCCGCTTCCCTTCGATTCCGGCTACTCAGACAACATGGATACAACGTACAGCAAGGTAGTCACCAACTAGTTAACCTCTTTAAATCATGTTGATGCACCAAAATTTACCTTACCATTCCTTTTTTTGGACATATAGATGTGCTTCAAAGGTTTATGAACGAGACAGGCACATTCAACGAATCGCTCAAAAGGGATGTGAAGGGGGTTCTTGGTCTTTATGAAGCTTCTGTCCATGGATTGGAAGGTGAAACCATACTTGATGAAGCTTGGAACTTTGCTTCTAAGCATCTGAAGGATCTAAACCTCGACAAAGTTCCCACCAATTCAGCGAGTAACGTGAGTCATGTATTGGATATGCCGATCCACTGGAGGCCAAATAGGGTGGAGGCTCGGTGGTTCATTGACATGTACGAGAAACAACAAGACATGATGCCATCTTTGCTACGATTGGCTAAGGCTCCATTCGCTTGGCGGAAAATATTCTCCCGGAAAATATTTTCCGGATTTCTCCGTGTCTGGGCGAAAAACGCTTTTTGTGGGAAAATATTTTCCTTCCCCCCTCACAAAAATAGCTTAAGTTTATGGAAATGACTTCCGCTTTCTTCAAAAGCGGAAATCATTTTTCGGAGCTTCTTCTTCTCTCTTCTTCACTAAGGTCGCGGGGTTATCGCCGAGCTGCTCGGCCGCCGCTGCCGGGCCGGGCCGTCGCTGGCCGCCGCCGTCTCGGTCGCCTGCCGCTGCTGCTGTCGCTGTCGCGGGCGCGCTGCTGCCTGGGCTCGCTGGCGCTGGGCCACCGGCCACCGCCGCGAAAATATTTTCCGAAAACTTTTTCATATTGGTCCTCGAACACGGGAAAATTATGTTCGGGAAAACATTTTCCAGGAAAATGACTTCCGAGAAAATATTTTCCAAAAGGAGAATATTTTCCGCCAAATGAACGGAGCCTAAATTAGACTTCAATTTAGTGCAGTCAATCTACAGGAAGGAACTTAGCAATGTGGCAAGGTATACACAAGCACTCTATAGTTCACAGATGCAATCTGGCAAGGTAGGAGCGCATTTTGATTGACTTAGTCATCACATGACAAATTTTTCAGGTGGTGGGATGAACTTGGGGCGACCAACACGACCTTCTTTAGGGACAGGCTAGTGGAATGCTATTTCTGGAGCATTCAAATGGTTTTCGAACCTCAATATACAGCTTTCAGAGAAATGAATGCGAAGATCGCTTGTATGGTGACACTTATCGATGATGTTTATGACGTATATGGGATGCCGGAAGAGCTTGAGCTCTTAACAGATTTCATTGTCAGGTCTGCGTAGTATTAGAACCATCATCATTTTCCCTTGTAACTATTATTGCCAAGAAAAAAGACGGAATTAATTAGTCTATGAACGCTATGGAAAAATAGTAAATACTATATATTATAAAATAAATTCTTCAATGTGTTTTGGACCTATCATGGTTTATGTTAGCTTTTTTTTTTCTTCTATGTAATTGATTGGTTTGGGCTAATAACGTAACGGTAGGCACTAACTTTCATTATTATTGCTAAAAAGCGTATTCAGTGACTGTAAAATTCATAAGATTGCTGAAATTGTGATAACTTATCTAGGTGGGACATCACGGTATTATCGATAAACTTCCTCCAATAATAAGAGATAGTTTCATGCTCTTGTACAACACCACCAACGAAATTGGGTATTGACAATGAGAGAGCAAGGAATCAACCCCATCCCTTACCTGCGGGAAAGTGGTAATCTCGACTTGATAAATCGTTCACCTAATAATTTCTAGCCCGTGTAGGGCAATTCATTTTCTATGGGATAATTGTCCAAAAGTCCTAAACCTATTGTACAATGCCAATTCAGCACATAAACCTTCAATTGTACCAATTTAGTCATAAACCTTTGGTAATTTGCCAATTTAGTCCCAAACCTTTCAATTGTGTCAATTTAGTCTAAAACCTTTTGAAGATTTGTCAATTTATTTCTAAATCTTTTGACGATTTGCTATCAATTCAGGCCCTTTCGCCAATTTAGCTGAAAATCGCTGACAAGAACGCTGGTTGTCCTACATGACACGCGCCAGCGGACGTCGACGTTGGCCTAGAAAATTTTTTTCAAATTTCTAAAAAAATTACAAAATTGTCCACGTCCAACACTCGGTTATTTAACGTAGGATGATTGGCCTTGACTAGACTCTCCACGTCAATGATTTCCGGTCAAAATTGACCCGAATGACTAAATTAATAAATCGTCAAAAGGTTTATGACTAAGTTGGCATAGTTGAAAGGTTTATGACTAAATTGGCAAATTGTAAAAATGTTTATGACTAAATTGGCACAATCGAATGAGTTAAGACTAAATTGGCCGTCGTATAATAGGTTTAAAAGTTTTTGGACAATTTTCCCTTTTTCCACTTCTAACTTTCATTATGATTTCTATTTAAACATTTGAGAATCCGTAAAAAGTAGGAGAAAAGAACGTCCTCGGGATTTGGTCATTGACCCTACTCTTCGAATTCAAATCCTATAGTGGGCCAATGAATGCAAGGCGACATAAAGGAGGTCCATTGGTACAACAAGGCACTAAACCGACACCGAAGGGAGTACGTAGACGTTGCGGTGAATTCAGCCGGAGGGCTGGTTATGCTCAAGTGACCGCTTTATTTCCTAACCACGGATAAATTGACGGAAGAGGGACTTGATTACGTGTCGAAAAATGCCCAGTGTCGTGCATTGCTTCTCGCTAAGATCCTTCGACTCAACAATGATCTCGCGATACATCATCGGTAATCTTATTTTTATATTATTCTTCTCCTTGTAAATAGTGGCTTATAAAAAAAAAGAGTACATCATTGGTATATTCATAGTGACAAGCTATTCTTTCTTATATCTTCGATACGAATGTGAGATGAGTATTTGGACTTATGTTTGTAATGTAACATCCTCAATTTCGGACCTATTTCCGGGAATCAATGAAATAGATGTTATTTCTCATTTCATTTTAGTAAGTCTCACCCGAACCGATCATTCTCTGGATACTAACCTTAGTGAATTGGGCTACCTGAGTAAATGTACGTGACCTAAGAACTCGATCATGAGTCGACCTTCTATGACGATCGAGGTCGCCATGACTCGAATAACCATAGGTCGATACGCGTAATCCCTAAACAAACCCTGCTAGCGAGAGACCTAAAATTGAGATTGGGCAATTTTGATCGCGAAATTGGATCCGGACTTGGATGTCGATTTTCGAGGTCGTGCGCGACTATTTTTACGAGGATGACGTCATTTTAGTGTGGCCAATGATGTTTGGGGTAAGTACGGTCGAAAAATGGAATTTCAACCTTAACTCAAATTACGCTTTGCTCCGTGGGCACCGAGGCTAGATTCGGAGGCC